CCTGTCGGTTAAGGCCGTTTCTTCCTATAGTTTACCTTACCTCCACCCAACAGTCTCTGACGAGGTTTCGAAACAGAGCATCCAAATTCTGTAAGGATTCAAATCTTAGTTCCCGTTTCTGCTAGGGCACAGATTACATAAAGAAATGCAAGACCAGGAGCGATAGTATCGCATATAGAGTGCTTGCTTTGCACACAGCCAGGTCAGGTTTGATTCCCAGCCTCTGAGCACTGCGTTAGTGTGGATAATTCCTTAGTGTGGGGCCAGGAGAAACCTCTGAGCATTGCTGGGTGTGGCCTCAAAGGAGGAGGAGGAGGAGGAGAAATGCAAGCTCAGAAAAGTTGATGGATTTGTTCGAGGTTACACACAGAGGGCTAGATGAGGACCTACCTCATTTCTTTATTTAAAATTAATTAATTAATATTTGCTCGGGCTGGAGCGATAGCACAGCGGGTAGGGCGTTTGCCTTGCACGTGGCCAACATGGCCGACCCGAGTTCGATTCCTCTGCCCCTCTCGGAGAGCCCGGCAAGCTACCGAGAGTATTCGATATGCCAGACACAGTAACAACAAAGTCTCCAATGGAGACGTTACTGGGCCCGCTCGAGCAATTAATATTTATTTTATTTTGAGCGATAGCACAGCGGGTAGGGCGTTTGCCTTGCATGCAGCCAACATAGCTGACCCGAGTTTGATTTCTCTGCCCCTCTCAGAGAGCCCGGCAAGCTACCAAGAGTATCTCGCCTGCACGGCAAAGCCTGGCAAGCTACCCCCTGACATATTTCATATGCCAAACACAGTACCAAGTCTCACAATGTTACTGGGCCTGCTCAAGGAAATTGATGAACAATGGGAGGACATTGACAGTAATTTTATTTTTTTTAATTAAAAATATATATTTAAAGTAAATATATATTTAAAGTAGGAGCACTGCTATTTATCCAACCACTGATTAAGTTGAACCTACCTCATTTCTGACACAGAATCAAATTTCCTCTCACAAAGCCCAGTCCTGCAGGTTCTGTGTGCTGTGCTGAATGTGGCACCAAGATTTCTGTTTCAGCAAGGGGGAGGGGCAGTGTTTCCTTGTCCTGAAGTTGTGAGCTGTTAGCTGCCCACACAGGGGTTCCGTGATCTGAAATAGCCGCTCAGCTCCACGTTACATACAGTTCCCAGATCTGCTCTGGCTTCTGCTGGCATCCATTACCTCAGTCTAAAGCAGGGAAAGGTGATCGCTCAGTAGCGGGGAACCAGCCTCATCAGGTAGCTTAAAGGAGAGAGCAGGAGCAATTTGGCTAGAGGAAGGATTGTTAATTCGACGGCTACAGTTTCACATAGAGAAATTTTCAAAATGTATAGCCAAGGGGTTGATAATGAAGATGAAATCTATACACAGAGATATTCGAATGAGGGAATGTGTTTGCTCATTTACTCCCCATATCTAAGCAGTATTGCTGTGGTGACAGCTCTCAAAATCTCAGTGAGAACAGATATCTATATCTTCTCCATATTATATGTACTTCCCTGCATTTTCTCACTCTGAGGGTCAGCCTGGGGTGGAAGCGAGGGGAATGGCAGGAACTTGTAAAGACTCTTAAGGTTTCTGCTCAAATCCTTCGACATGATACCCATCTGTTTCAGGAGCCAAAGAGCACTACAAGGCCAGACCAAACACGAGTGGGGCTGCAGAAGATCCCAGTGATCTACCAGGACAAACAATCTCCATGTTGGAAAAAAGGAGGGAAACAACTGGGAAAATAATGAAACTGAGTCTCGCAAAGCCCACATTCAGATCCCTCTCTACTCTCAGCAGAAGGGTAGTAACTTTGCTAGATCCTGGAGATTGGGAAGAGTCTTTCCAGGTGGCGAGATCTGGGGAGGTGCTGGAGAGATCTGAGCTGAGGGCAGAAGACAGGATACCAAAGGGTGTACCAAAGAGGATACCAAAGAGCAAAGACTGGGGTTGGAGCGATAGGATGGTGAATAGGGCATCTGCCTTGTATGTGGCTTACCTGGGTTTCATCCCCGCCATCCCATACGGTCCCTCAAGCACTGCCAAGAGTAATTCCTGAGTACAGAGCCAGGAGCAACTCTTGAGCATTGCCCGGTGTGACCCAAAAAAAAGCCTAAAAGAACAAAAATAAAAAGAAGAAAAAGCAAGCAAGCTAGAAAAGGCTGCAAGCAGAGGAAAATGCCACAGTAGGGCTGGGAGAGTGTCCCAGCCAGACAAACTCAGTAGAGGAGAGAGATGGGAAGGGCTGGGGCTCAGATCAGAGGTGGCAGGAGGGAAGTGTTGAAAGTTGGTAAGTTTGAGGCAGAGCAATAGTACAGCAGGGAGGGCATTTGCCTTGCACTCAGCTGACCTCGGTTCAATCCCTGGCATCCTATGTGGTCCTCTAAGCACTGCCATGAGTGATTCCTGAGTGCAGAGCCAGGAGTAAGCCCTGAGCATTGCAAGGTGTGGCTCAAAAACAGAGAGAAAGAAAGAAAGGAAGAAAGAAAGAAAGAAAGAAAGAAAGAAAGAAAGAGAGAGAAAGAGAGGAAAGAAAGAAAGAAAGAAAGAAAGAAAGAAAGAAAGAAAGAAAGAAAGAGAAAAAGCTGATATGTTTAAGACTCAAGAGATTAAGTTTCCTAGAGGCCAGCCGGGTATCCTAGAGGAAAGGGCTGTTCAGATAGAGAAGGGAGCACCAAATAAAGGATGTTTGGAGGATCCTCCCAGGAGGGGAGATGCATGTCGAAAGTAGACTATGGACTGAACATGTTTGCCACTCAATGCCTCTTTTGCAGACCACAACACCCAAAAGGAGAGAGAGAACACAGGGGATTGCCCTGCCACAGAGACAGGGGGGATGGGGGGATGGGGGTGGGAGGGATATTATCCATGGTGGTGGAAAATGGGCACTGGTGGAGGGATGGGTATCTGATCATTGTATAATTGAAACCAAAGCACAAAAAAATGTAAATCTACAACTTTAAAAAAAATAAAATAAAATAAAGGGAAAAAAAAATGATCCCCCCCCAAAAAAAAAAAAAGAGATTAAGTTTCCGGGGCTGGGGCAGGAGAGATGGCACAGGAGTAAGGAACTTGCCTGCACACAACCTATCTCGTTCTGCGCCTGGTACTAAGCGTGGTCTTCTGAGCACCACCAGGAGTGATCCCTGAATGCAGACCAGGAGTAAGCCCTGAGCACAGCTGGGTCTGGCCTCCCTCCCCATCTCTCACCAGCCCAAGAAAGATGAACCTCTTTCCATACTTGGAACAGGAGCAATCAATGACGGAAAGGATTGCTCTGAAGATTGATGGGCAGGAAAGGCCGAGACGGAGAGAAGCAGCAGAGAGATGAATAAGGTCACATGTCCAGAATGACATTTGAATTAAATGCCTTTAAGTCAAACAGTAGCTGCTGGAACAACACAATAGCTGCCGAAAATAAACACTTTTCAGAAAATAAATAATTCCCCAAAATCCTAATCCCATGCCCCAAACTGATCCCTTGTGAACATTTTATTTATTGGAGATAGAAATGTTTATCAGAAAGCAGAAGGGAAAGAAGCGCCCAGCCCGGGAGGAACTTAGTAGAGGAGTAAGTTAGAATAAAGCATTTTAATTCCCTGCTATTGTATGACTCTAGAACCTACACTTCCATTATTTTTTTTAAAGGATCCTAAGAGGCATATAAATTAAAGCTTCAAGACAAGTTGCTGCTCCTGAAGACAAAACAGCTGTGTCCAAGTAAATGGGACACTAAGCAAAGGCCAGAGTCGGAGAGCGTGAATGTGTCATTCATGGAGAGACGCTTAGCAATTCAGACCTCAAGGGGCCGGGTAGGGCGTTTGCTTTCAAGAGGTGGACCAGGGTGCGATCACCAGTATTCCATATGGTTCCCAGAGCACCGCCAGGAGTGATTCTTGAGTACAGAGCCAGGAGTAACTCCTGAGCTCTGCCAGCGTGGCCCCAAAATTGAATTAAAAAAGAGAAAAAACGTAGACCTCAAGTTGCCCTTACAGTTAAACGTTTCCACGAAAGAGACTAAAAGAACTCCATGTAAAATGTTTTTTAAGTGCCACTAGGAGCTTCACCTAACTGAAGATTTTATTCTAAGGTCACTGTGTGTGTGTGTGTGTGTGTGTGTGTGTGTGTTTGTGTATTAGAATGTCCCTTGGGTGTGGGGGAGGGGAGAGCCAGACTGGGCAGGTAACCAGGGGTCCATCCCTGGCACCTCCTGGTCGCTCCAGCAGCCCTGGGTGTGGCCATTGGGGATCACAGCGGAACCAGAGCATCATTCACCCTGCAAAGCGGTACTGCAAGCGTCTCCCTGAGCTTTCTGGGAGCACGCTGCCTTCCCCTCCACCCCAGCCTCCACCCCCCAGAAAAGAGTCCGTGTATTTTAAGAGGATTTGCTAAGCGAGGAATTCACCTTATCCAGTAACAAAAACAGTGTGAAAAAGATTAAAAAAAAAAAAGCAGGTTGTCAGGAGGGGGCTTCAGAGGAGCGTCGACAGAAGGAACTATTTTGGGAGAGTCGGGAGCGGGGGAGAGCAAGGGCGGGGGTGCCGGGCTAGCACCCAGCGGGCGCGGCGGCGGGGCGGACTGGGATGGGGTGGGCGCCCTAGGGCGGGGGGGGGGGGGCGCATCCGTCCATCCGTCGGGCACCGGCCGGCGACCGGACGGCAGCCCAGGGCCAGGCGAAGGGAAAGGGCAAGCGAGCCGGAGGCCGAGCGCCCGCCGGGAGGAGCCCCTGTCACCTAGACAAAGGCAGCCCCGGAGCGCGCGTGCGCGTGGCGGTCAGCGCGGCGACCCGCAGCGAAGGGGGAGGGAAGGCGGGCGGGGAGCGGCGAGAGGAGCCGGCCCGGGCGGCCGCCGGCCGCGAGGCGGGGCACCCGCGCGCGCCCACTAGCGGCCGGAGGAGAAGGCGCCCGCCGAGGCCCCGCGGCCCGGGCCTCCCTCGGGGTGGCGCGCGCGCTCGCCGCTCGCGCCTGCGCCGCCCGGCGGACTCGGGAGCGCGCTCTCTCGGCGGCGCGCGCGCTCTCAGTCTCCGCCACCCACCAGCTCCCGCACCAGCAGCCGCGCCGCCGCCGCCGCCGCCGCCGCCGCCGCCCACCTTCTGCCGCCGCAGCCGCTCTCCCCTCCACCGCTTCCCTCTCCGGTCCTCGCCCTCTGTCGACCATCAGGTAAGCACGAGGTTCCCGGACCTGCCACCCCGTCCGCTTCCTTGCAAGCCCCCCCTCGCACCCTGCTCGGGTGCAGGCGGCCCTCGCCCCCCTCCCTCCCCGCCGTTAAGGATGGGTTTCACGCGCCGGGCATTGGTCGCGGGCGACCGCGGGGGTTCCGCCCTGCACCCTCCGCGCGCTGGCGGCTTGCAAAGGGCCCCGTGCACACGGGGATGCACGCATGCATGTGAATGTATGTGCGTGCGTGTGTGCTGGGGAGGTGTGTGTGTGTGGGGGGGAGGACCAGGGTCCGCACGACACGCTTCGCCACGGACCTGGTGGAGACTGTGCCCGCAGGGTGGGGCATGGATGCCCTGACCTGGGGGAGGGGGCTGCAACGCACGTTCCATTCCTTCGCCACCGTCTTTTGCCGCAATGGGCGTGTGAGTGTGTGCGTGTGTGTGCGCGCGCGTGTATGTGTGTGTGTGTATGTGTGTATGTGTGTGTGCGCGCGTGCTAGGAGGGATGTCTAATGACGACCTCCAAAAACGAATCTGCAGCCTGATTTATCCGCCGAGGTGTGCCGGCAGCCCTAGGGATGGCATAGTTCGGGTTCTAGAAAAGACGACTTCTTCCCGGCCCCTCCCTTCACCTTCCCATTCCAAGGGCCTGGCTTCGCAGCCCGGGTTCGAGGCGGCGGCCCTCCCCCGGTTTCCACCTTCAGAAGCCCGCAGGGGACATTTGGGGGCTGGGAGGGGAATCCAGGAGATGGGGAGGGGTCCAGGCGCTGTCACTTTGGTTGCCCTTCCCCCTGCGCGCGCTGGCGCGGAGACGCGGGCTGCGCCGTGCCCGAGACCTGGCGGTGCGCGGGACCCAGGGTGCAGCTTCCAGCAGGCCGGGGTCACCTGGGCAGCGGCCGACCCCCGCTCCCCGCCGCAGCCCCCCACGGGCGCGCGCGCGGGGGGGTGCAGGTGCCTTTCGGGGCGGGTCCCTTTTTCCGCGCGCCCCGCCAGAGTCGCGGGGCTGGCGCGTAGGGCTCGCCCCTCACTGCGGCAGTGGGTGTGGACCCCGGTGGGCGAGCGGGGGAGGGGCGGCCGTGCCTCCTCCCGCCCCCACCCCCGCCGCACCCCTCCAAGAGCGAGGTGCCATCTTTCCGCGGCGTGGTTCGTCCTTAGCGGAGCGCGCCGAGTCGGCTGGCGTGCGAGGACCCGGCGGGACCCGCGTTCAAGGGGGTGGGGGCCCCTCCCTGGGCGCGGAAATCTGGGCGTACGGCCGCGGGGGGGGGGGTTGGGGGCGTTCCCCGGGGGGATCTCGACGCTTTGTGTTTTAGGGTTTGTGGCACTTGAGTTGCCCGCCAGGTGGGCTTTTTTTTTTTTTGGTTTGCTGAGGTTTTTTTTTTGCTTTTATTCTGAGGGTGTCGAACAAGGGGCCCCGACGTTTTTCGCCCCCCGTTCCCGAGCCTTTTGTTTGATCTCGCGGTTTGCAGAGGCCCTTGGACTCGGGTCACAGCCCCTGGAGCACGAATAGACGGGCGTGACCCCGCGCCGCCCCCTCTCCCCCCGCACACACACCCGGGAGCCGGGCGGCGCTCCAGGAGCGTCCCGGGGCTGCGACGCGCGGGTCTGGGTGTCCGCGCGGGGGGTGGGGGTGGGGTGGGGAACGACGCCCCTGCAGCTGCACTTGCGACCCCCACCCCCCCGGGGGCGAGGCCCAGCTGCTGGCGGGTGCTCGGGCTCGGCGCCCTGTTGCTTTGCCTCGCTGGAGAACGTGAGAAGGGGCTGGAGGTCCCTTGGGGTGCTGCGGCCACACCCATCTCTCCGGGGCTCGCTGGAGGGGGCGCGCAGGGGAGGTTGCCACGGAAACCACACGCGTCCCGAGAAGGGACCCTGGGGCGTTGCCGGGTCCCTTCCCAGCTGAGATTGAGAACCCTAGGGTAGGTGGCACCCCGCCCCCTGGGCCTTCTCGGGGGGCTTGGGAGGAAGAACCCCCTCCCAATCGTGAGACTCCCCCTGATTGGCCTCCGGGGTCCAAGCCTCCCTAAGGGGGGAGCGGTCTGCGCGGTTCTTTTTTTTTAATTTTTTTATTTTTTACGGTGGCTGAGTGTTATTTCAGAAACGTGCGGATTTTCACCCGAGAACGGGCGGGCGCACACGCTTGGACGCAGGAGAACCCGTCCGAGCCTCGCCCGGGCGGCGGTGCCCGGGTCCGCGCGGCTTTCTGGTTCGTTCTAAAAGCCTGGGAACCGGTACGCGGGCGCCGTCGAGAGAGCCGAGCGTGTCGGGGTCCGAATAACGGCCCCCACCCCCGCCCGGAGGAGTTCGAACATCCGGGACTGGCGACTGGCGGGGCTCACGGGCCAGAGCCCGCCGCCCCCTCGCGGCTGGGCCCCGGGAGCGGCGCCGGGGGCGGAGCAGGGGCGCGCCGTGGGCTGCGGGGCCGCACCCGCCCCGGGACGGGCCCACGCGGCGTCGCGCGCCGCGCCCCTCCCGTGCCACCCGCGCGCGCCGCAGGAACGCCGCGAGAACGCGGGTCTGGCGGCCGCGGGGAGCGGGAGCCCCTGTCGGCTGGGGGGAAAGGAGCCCCGCGGGGGCGAGCGCGTGGAGCCCGCGGCCGGGAACAAAGCGCCGTCCACGCGTCCGTGATTTCCACGCTCCATTTTGTATTTCTTTTTCTCTTTTCTTTCTCTCTCTCTCTCTCTCTTTTTTTTTTTTTTTTTGGCTTTTGACTTTTGACTTTTCGCCACACCCGGCGATGCTCAGGGCTTACCCCTGACTCTGCATTCAGGAATCACTCCTGATGGTACTCGGGGAGACCGGGATGGGGTCCCAGGGTTCGAACCCGGGTTCGCCTCGTGCAGGGCAAGCGCCCTTCCCGCTGTTCTATCGCTCCGGCCCCCTCCACACTTCATCTGAAAGCGATTAACGGTGGTCTGGGGGATCTGCGGGTGGAGAATCCGGGCCCGAGGGGAGGGGACGAGGGGACGGTTGATGCGGTGGCTTTAGCCCGGGGATTGCTGGCTTCTAGGAGGGATCGCCAAGGGATGCAGCTTTTGCTCCCTGGGAGTGCGGAGCCAGACCCCTGGCGTGGAGGAAATGCAAGGGAGAGCAGAAAACAGCCAGTGAGGGCCCCCCAAACTCCAGCCAGTGCACCCACTCGGTCAGCCCTGGAGCCTATAAACAGGGCGGGGTCTGCTGCCCATCTGGGTTGGTCTGCGTGAGGGACCCCTGGAGTGAAGGCGTGTCCTCCCCTCCCTAATCAGTTCTGAGCTCTCGCCTTGAGTTTTATGGTGACGCCCAGGCTTTCCCTTTCATCCTCCCATCTCCCAAGCCTTCCTCTGCTCCCGCAATCCATCCTCCGGCCCCCAGCTCCCCCTGGGTTACTCTGGGCTCTTGGGTCCCTGGACTGACTCCGCTGCTGTAACAGGTGTGTCTTCTTGGCTCTCCTGCTTGGCGCTCGCCCTAGGACAGGTGGGAGGAAAGGCTCCTCGGCTGGGCTCTGCTGGAGGGACAGTCCCTGCGGTGGCTTCCCAGACTGCTGCCCCTGTCTGCAGACGGGCGTGGCTCTCGGTGCCCCAAGTAGGAGGCTGGGCAGACAGGAACAAAAGAAGCAGAGCTTTCCAGGAATGGCTGGAAGGAAGGCAGCACCCCCCGGGGATGGAGTAAGCTGCAGGCTTCTCTCTGGAGGCGCCAGAAGCCCCTCAGGGAACCAGCTTGCTCTTTGACCTTCTGCCCCTGGAGGTGGGCTGCCAGCCCAGAGGCATCAGAGGATGGTGGGGCCCTTTGTTTCAGCTGAATTACCCTCCTTTGCTCTTAACACCTCGAAGCTGCCCTGAAGCTTATTTCCAGAAGCTGTCCGGGCACTGTCCCCTCAGCATGGGGAAGCTGAATCCATTTGTGTTCGTTCTCTGGCTTAGAACTCAGCCTGCTGGGAAGAGAATAACTCACAACCAGACATGCTCAGAGGCAGACTCTGATGCCAGGGAGTGTTTGACCCCGACTGTTATACAGATAAGCAGGGAAAATGGGAGACTGTGAGTGAAAAGGGGGTGAAGAGAAAGCAGGGGGCAGGGAGCATCACCTGAGGCCAGGGTGGGCAGCGGAAGGTTTGCAGGCTCAACTCTGGGTCCAAGCGCCAATGGTGCCCCCCCAGCCCCTCCCTGCTGGGCAGCACTCCCTGCTCTGGTGGCCCCCTCCCCCCTTGAAGACCAGAGGAAGTGGAAGAGAGGAGGGGGGTAGGGGTGCCCCTGACCTTTTCCATTCCTGTTCAGAGGCCCCTCCACCCCTAACTGCCTGGGGGGGGTGCAGCAGGTGAGGGGGGAGAAGGTAGCCACAAGAGCTTCCACCCCCCCACCCCACCCCCCGCCTCCAGAGGGCTGCCTGGCTTTTCCTGCCCTCTCAGTGTTACCCTGTGAACTGGCGGTTCTCAGCCCCAGTAACATCAGATGTCCAGACACATTTGTTTATTGTTGTTTGGGGACCTCATCCACAAGGGCTGCTGGGGCTATTCCGGGTGATCCTGGGCATTTTGCGATGCCAGGAGCAAACCAGTACCTCCCACATGCAAAGTCTGTGTTCGGGGGGCCAGAGAGATAGCACAGTGTGGAGGGCACTTGCCTTGCACCCAACTGACCTGGTTTCGATCCCTGGCATCCCGTATGGTCCCCAAAGCAGTGCTGTATCACCTATGGGAAACCTGAAGAACAGAGAGGCTTGTAACTCATTAAAGGTCACACAACCAATGAGAGACAAACCTGGGTGTCTGGTACTACCTCCGCTATCCCCCCCCCTCAGTTATATCCCAGCTTGATAGACCTCTGGGGGACCCAGTATCAGCATTGACCCAGTGAGATATTTTGATTCCAAAACCACTCACGTGTGTGTGTGTGTGTGTGTATGTGTGTGAGAGAGAGAGTGAGAGAGAGAGAGAGAGACTGTAATGAGATCGCCAGTGTCTAATCTGGCCTTGGCAGATGGAGAGAGGGATTTCACTACCTCTGTGCCTCTGTTTATGAAAAAGACCCA